TTTTCTCCCCTCCAGCTACTGACAGACCAAGGCTGATGCAGTAGGAAATCCAGCTCAGCTTATCTGTCTGGAAAGATTCTAACTTCAAAATTACTTTTTTAGAGGGTCTGTTTTGGTTTATTCATTTGCTGGGTTTGAAAATCCTTAACGTTGATGCTAATTCCTGGAAATTTCTGCTGACTTCTGGAAATAAATAAAATGCCAATAAGCAAATAATCACCAATGGCTGTGTAGAATCACAATAGGCACTCTGTTCCTGAAAGAAGGTTACATGGATCACTTTTCTCAGCAAACAAGCATTGACTCAAAGGACACCATTTTCCCCAATGCTTTTTATATGCTAAGTGCCATAGCACCAGATTCTGCCATAAGAACAAGGTACATCACTTGCTGGAATTCACACTAAAGCTACCTCTTCCTGTGACTTTTGCCCAAGGAATTCTTTTTTATCCTTCTCATCTGACACCAGACATATGAGACAAATACCCAAGTAGTCCATGCCCTGGTACTACAAACAGACTAATGGTACAGACAAAACCCCTGTCAGCTGTTTCAGACAATCCTCTCACCATGCATCCCTCCTGCAGGTCACATCAGAGGCTCTCAGAGATTTCTCTCATGCTGATCCTCAAACTTCTATTGGCCACATTGCAGCTTTTCCCTCTCTTCTGGCTGCCCACACACACCACAGTCTCTGTTAATCAGAGGATGGACCCTCTTAGGTCAGCTCTTTCCCAGCATCCCCTCACTCCATAAAGGAGCTACAGGGTCCCTGAGAGACCCAAGGTGAGCAGTGCAGGAGCTGTCTGTGATCTTGAAGACCCTTCAGAAGAATCTTCAGCAACTTCACCCTGTTCCCATTTTAGCCTTTTCTTAAAGCATCAGCGCTGCAGATCAGAGACTGTCCTTACATTTATAATGGACATCACATTGAGCACAATGGTGGGCTATCCCCCGTGCAGGGCCAAGGCAGTGCTGCACAGACGGCAATCTCTCTCCCCTCACACATACCATGCTTGAAAATATAACCAACGTCAGTAAAAATAAAGCATTTACCATCACCACAGTTCACATGGTCTGGACCATCCTAAATCAGTTTCTTTTTGCATCTGTATAGTATTATGCATTATGATCATAACAGAGTGAAATCTTTAGCCTAAACAGTAATTGGTTAAAAATGCATATTCCACAACAGCAAATCATTTCAGGACTTCCTCTGTTCCACTCAATTTCTTGTGTGAAGGAAAAGCAGCAAACAATGAAAAAGAATCGTTCTGAACATTTTAAAAGGAGCATCTTAATTTTTTAAATCTGACATAATTATTTGTGGAGAATTTCCCTCTGACTGATCTTTATAAAAGCCCAGCTGAAGGAATACTTTTTCAGCCTAAAATAGAACTTCTCTTTCTCTCAAAATTGTGGGTGAGCCAAAAGACCAGTTAATTGCAGAGGTCCAGCTCTATTTGGTACGTTCAGCTCCACTCCTACTAATACTTGAAATACCACATGCAAGGTCTCTTTTACAGATTTCTTGTGTTTCAGTGGACATAAACTGAGGGCCTGGGGATGAAAACACAGCCTGGAGTAGTCCCCATTTGATGGAAAACTCCAAATACCTTAGAATTAGGAAAAGTGACATTTTGAATGTTGCCTTGGTGTTCCTGATCCACCCTCTTCTCCTCTTCAGGGACATTCCTACTAAACATGATCAGGTTACAAGTCGAAATATGTTGTTTCTGTCACTGCTGACTATCACTGTCTGAAAACAAGCTGTTTTCCCTCTCTTTTATCCATTACCCCTAGATATGAAGACTCCAGACTCTGCGCATAATTGGCAATTCTCTACACAATGTACAAGGTAAAATAGAAGCAGCATGTTGCTCAACTGCTCAATTGGATCTGGAACAAAGACAGCAGTTATAATTGCTATCTACCACTTAAATAACCAGACATCGCATGACACAGTAAATGGGGGCTAAGAGATTATTAGGACCAAGATGCCAGTCACAGGTACATTTCCAGACAAATTTTTTTAATGTCTGAGGTAGCTAATGGTGGAGGCTGAGAAAAATATAGACATAGGTTAAATTGGCCATGCTCTGTCAGCAGGATACTACTACACTCACTCTCTGGGAGATGTATTCAGGCAGGAAACAGTCTTGGGAAAGTTATAGGTATCTCTTTAAAAAACTGGGATCATGTATCCTTACATATAGCATTGCAGTGACCTAAGAACAGAGTTCATGAACATTTCTGCCTGGATGAAACGTGCCCAACTGAACAACTTCAGATTTGGGGCTTTGCTACTCCTGACACTGAAGCCTTCGTTCTTCCTTCGGGGAAACCAACTCCCATAGGCAACTGGACACAGCACTGGCCTTTCAGGACTTAAGAAATGCAAACACAGTTTTATTTACTTCCTGACCCTTCACTCAAAACATTTGCAGCTCTGTAAATGAAAAGAAACCACTGCTGTTTAGCAACTTCTTCAGCCCCCTCATTCATTCTGTCAGGAAAGTGAGGCCACACTTTGATGTCACAGTGACACAGCAGGGGTGTTGTGGTGACGTTTGAGAACTTCTGGTTGGTCTCCCCAGGCAGCTGATGCCATTGCCCTTTATCTTGCATCTTGTCTAGAAGGGCAAAGCCTGGCTGGGTGGAAAATGGCTACAGGTGAAAATTTTGGTCACACTGAGAAAACAAAAAAATTAAAATGGAGCCTTTTTCAGCACTGACATCCAGTGTTTCTGTTCCACAAGAGCCAGCTGAGTTGGCAATCTCAACTTTTGTCCTTTGAGCATATTGTAGAAGAGCAGCTGGTGACGCTGCCTTAGCCTCTGTAAAAGAACAAAAGGCTTTTCAAGGTTCGCATGATGAACCCTGGGCCATGAGTATATGGTTTAATTTTCTGAAGGAGAGAACTGGCAAAGCCAATGACTTTTGATCCTGCCTCTTCCTGAAAAAAAAAACCCCTCTGGAAAATTGCTGGAAGCAATTTATCTCAGGCAGTTTGATGTGGTGACCCTGGAAAGTGCATAGTGATTGCTAAAAAAAAAAAAATCTTCAAAAGGGAAGTGCTGGGATGGAGAGGACATATGCAAAATTTTTTAACCAATTCCACAAAAGGTTTTATTCATAAACTTAGTATTCATGGATTCAGCAAAATAGAAAGGAATTCTCCAATACCTGCCTCCCCTGACAAACTTCAAGCACTACCAGCAACAGATTCTGCTTTTGACAAAGTACATCAGTCCCTTTGCACATGAAATAACTATCAGGATATTAGAGTAGGATAGATGTTCATCCCACAATGCGGGGCCTCAAAATCAGTGGTTTTGGGTTTCTAAGTCACTTTGTACTCTTTTGAAATCCTATACTTCTCTACTTCTCTCAAATGGCAAAAACACTGGGGTGTTAGTACTTAACAGAACTGTATCATAACATTTTATTCCAGTTTATTCATCTTTAAAATGCCCCTGAGAGTCCTTTCTAATACCGATGTTTGTCTTTTGTGAGTCTAACGCTTAGTTATCTTAGTTTCATCTTTCTCAGACTGAAAGTAGTGGCAACTAACTGCTCTCCTTTGCATTTTTTAGTTACTTTCCTATGACAACCCCTGTTTCCAGAGGGATTATCCCCATCTGCTATGAACCTGTAAGCAGAGGGTTGGTGCGAAAAACTCAGCATCAGCTGCACTCTCACTGGACCCAGATTTGAAGGAAGGCTGCCAAAGGAGAAGCCCAGAACATTCAGCCTGCAGAAAAGAATGATCCATTCATAGCACCTCCACAGAGGACACCCAAACATTGCACCCAGTACCTCCAGCAACTACCTTGTCACATGATAAAGCATCCATCCAGATGGGAAGCACCTGTACCCTTACACACACATTTTTTTTGACATTTCCAGGCCCTGCTGCAGCAGCGGGCAGGGAGATATCCAAGCTTCAGGCCCCATCCTTATCACCACAACACTGCAGCCATAGCCCTGCTGGTGTCCAGGCTGCAGCTTCTGCTCCATCCGATACTTCACCGCATCACACTCCTTTGACATCAGGGCTGGCACTTCCCGCCTTTCCATTCAGGCATCCACATCTAGCAACTATGCAGGCTTTCTTGGCTAGACTGCTTCCCTTCTGGGACCCATGAGTTTCAACAAGCTGGCTGCAGCCTCTGCTGCTGCAGCTCCAAGACCACTGCGCTGCCAAACTCCAGCACACCCTTCACTGCCCTAATGCATCTGCCATCCAAGTAAATCTTTTCCAGTTGTCTTGTCCTGTCTTTACAATCTCACAGTTACTGTCTCTACACCCTGAGGCATTGCCTTCAGGGAGATGAGCTGGTTTGCCCCAGTCCAGGGAAGTCAAAGTCTCCAGGCACTGGTGATGTGCTCAGCAAAACCCAGAAAAAGGGCAGCACGTGGCTAATCCAGTAGCTGCGCCAGTAGCAAATGGTACAGAACAGTGCTATACAGAGCAGTCTGACCATGGAAAGATTTCCTAAATTAGGTCCTAGGATAAAAGAGCTGAGCATGTGATTCCACCTCCCATTTTAAACATCCATATGCCAGATGATAACTGCCTATTAAATTGCAACTGGGAATCAGCACACAAACGTACTTCATCTCATGCCTTGTCCCAGTTACTTTAAAATAGGTATTGCTGAGTCAGTTGCTTGGATTACAGAAATCAGAGATCTTTAATAGAATTTGACAGCTTTTCAGGTTTGCACAAAGTCCTCTAGAAGTAGATCAAAGTGGGAACACTAGTTTCAGTCAGGTTAACAGGTGGAAACAAACCTCCTAGAAAAATGTACCTGGTGAAATCATTAATGCTACAGAGGTTATTTTCCCTCCAAACATCCCACAGCAAGGACCTCTCCTTGCAGTGTTGTGCTTCCAGGGTTGCCCTTAAAATCTACTTTCCTGCTAACACAGATCTCTTTCCCCAAGATGAAGGCCTTTATGAAGGGCTATGGAACAACAGAGCTGATGGAACTCACAGTTGGCCTCCTCCACTGTATTCGCCTCAACTTATCCTCTGGGAGCAGGTTGGGACCGATGGAGCTGATGTGAGCGGGGAAGGTGTCATCCTCAAAGAGCAGCCCCCGGCTCAGACACAAGGTTCGTAGGTTGTTGAAGTCCTGGCTATTAAACCTCTTCAGGTTCTGGAGACTTCCCTTTGCTCCTGTGGTTTGCCAGCCCTGCTCTGGCATCAAAGTGGAGCTGGGGGCGAGCATTGTGCCCCTTTCCTGTGAAGGAGAGACATAGGCTGCCATTAGTTTCCTGATCCAAAGCAGTGCATTAGAAGTGTGTGGGAAATCAAACAGCCCCCTCCTCCTGCCAAGAGGATTGTGGAGCAGCAGCTTTCAAAGCTGAGGGCAGCCACAGTGACAAAATCCTTATTAGCTGGAAACGCACAGGGAAAGAGTAGTCATCAAATCCCAACTGGTTTATCTTAAACCAGTGCTGTCACTGCTACAAATTCAATTTTGAGTCTTCCCTGAGGACAGAGAGTAAAGCTGTTAGTGAGCTGCTGCGTGAGCATTGAGGTACATCTGCAGCACAGGGGATGGAACAGTTGCTGCAGCTGCAGGGGAGCATGAGTGTGAGCAGAGAGGATGCTCAGGGGTACCCAGGACTCTTCTGGCCAGGTATCATGCTCTGTGAGATGTGAAGATGACAGAGACTTTCGCTACCTGGATCTGCTCCAAGGAAGCTTGAGCATATTAGGGGGTGGCTTCCTAGCAGCCCACACAGGCATTCCACCAGACTCCCCACAGCTACAGTGCTGAGAATGGACCAAGCTGCAAAATCCAGATCCGGGTCCCACTCACACTACACACTCACATGAGTGTGCACCAGGGTCTGAGCTTTTTGGACTCAGTAGTTTGTTCAGAAGCCAGTGTTGAAACAGATCTGAATTTCAAATTCGTATTTAAACCAGGCAGTCATTGCAGGCATCTGTAGGAATTCCAGTCTGAAGCATGGTAGAACCCCTCTCTGTTAATGTGTCTAAGGAAAAGGGGCACTCCTCTTAGGAAAAATGAACATTTCACACATGCAGAGAAACCCTAGGCTGAGCAGACCTGCTAATATACCTGCTGGCACAGCTTGGTATGGATGCAGGAGCCAAAAACTTCTGTTGAGGACTCTGCCCCCGTTACAGTCATCAAAAAGCAGGACAACTGTCATCAAAGATCTACTTTTGTTCCAGAGAGAGGTAGTGCATCTGCCATGGAGACGCTGGACTGCAGCATGGGAGCACTTTTAGGACAGAGGAGGGAGAAGGGCTCAAGAAAGCAGAGAACTCGCACATTTGTAGGGGCCAGTGGTACCGGAGCTTAAAAAGAGCAATTTGTTCTGTCCAAGAAGAGTACAAGCTTTCAGTTGTGCTCCCCAGAGCAACGTGGATGTACAGAGGGATGTACACATGTGCACCACCTCCTGGGGATCTTTCCTCGGCTGAAAAGTTCTATTGCGGGTTTCAGGGTCCAGAGAATTAGCAGGAAGGTTGTGCAGCTTGCCTTGCCTCCTGGTACCTTCAGCTTCTTTTGTCACACAAAATTACATGTTGCTGTATCAAAATATGGCTCAGGATACACACCAGTTTTCACCCTTCAGTCACGTTTGCACTCACAAAATCAAAGTATTAACTATCCTGAGCTATAATACCCCTTTTGCCTCTTTCTTTATGAAAAGAGAAGGCTCTGGTGAAGCCCTTTATTATTAAAATTTTAAGGGCAAGAAGGATCACTGTGATCACTTCCCCTGGCATCTTGCATGGTGGATGCCACTGCACTTGACCTAGTGATTCCTGCCCCCTAGCTCCCGGCATCCACTTAAGATGCACCTTCTCACAAATTAGCATATGAAAATCCACCACATCCCTGGGCAAGCCACTCCTACAGTTAATTAACTTCACCTTGCCAATTTGTAGCTTGAAGTCACTTAGTTTCACTTTCAAGCACCGGATGCCATAACTCTTTTTTCGTCTTTTTTTCCTCCAAATTTTCAGTAGATAAAAGGACTCTTTTCTACCAAACAAACTTATCCGTAGCTCTGAGATGTTCCTGCTGCAGCACAAAGGCAGCAGACAGCTCCAGTAAGAGCAGTGCCTCAGACTTGTATTATGAATTCTTCACGCATATGAAAAACACAGCTCAGCCACAATGAAGCTGATACAGCCCCCCACTCTCAGCCCTACACGCTTTTTACTTTGTCTCATCACCTTTCTTGGTGCTTCAAGTCACTTAACCTCCTGGCATTGTAACAACAGCCTAAACAAATAAGTAGTTTTGCATCTCATTGTTTTAATTAAAAGCCCCACAAAAACAGCGGATGGAATTCAGAAACCACCCTTGGCCAACAAGAAGAGAGAACACTCCCCTTAGGCTTGCAGTTTTTTGATACAATGGAAATAAATCTCATGTAATGTACCATAACACGACAAGGGAATGGCTTCTTCTTAACAAATACTCATTTGAAACTGTGCCCAGGCCCCATGCACGCTAAGATCTATTTCTTGCAACAGTGTTCCAGCAAAACTGATTACTAATTCCAAAACTCAAATTAAAATTAACAGAGCTTGAAGGCTGGGTCTGACATGCGTTCCCTCTCTTCTGACAGAGAACAAGAGTTTTTAGCATGTGTGTGTGTGTGTTTAATTACGTTGTTTAACATACCAGGATTAAATTAGCAACCAGACTGAAGAAAATAATACACTTAACTACTCTTCCCTTGCAGGAATAACTTCATCAGCACTGTGTCTGGGGGCACATGAGTTCCATAACCATCCATGCCCCTGTGCAGGTAGCCCATGGGGTCAGGCATACCTGGCTAGCACTGTCCTGCCAGCACCAACAAACTCTGATGGCCACTTCTTTTGGAGCAGCATCCTGAGCCCTGGCCCCACCTCTCCTGCTCAGCTGTCATGGGTCCATCAGCAACAGAAAAGATCCCAACAGCTCTTAAAGCATAATATTGCCTGGTTGGTTGGGGAGCTTCTTACTGTTGCTGAACCCATGAGCCACAAAGACTTTCAAGGGACAGTTAAAATGGAATGGGTATTGGAGACATTGCCCTCGGACTGTTCTCTGCCACGGGATGCGAGGAAAGAGGGAGGGACTTCCAACACTCACAGAAGTTGGTTCACACATACTGTCAAACTCTAAAGAAAAAAAAGAGGCTGCCTCTCAACCAAGCAGGGAAATTATTATTCAGAAGGGGTTAAACAAACGTTTACTTGGTCCCGAAATCTCCTTCAACATATTTACTTATCTAAAATGGAGAAGGGAATCACACCCAACTTTGTATCTGCTGCTCTTTTTGGTTCCTCTTCCTTCTCGGCAGAGAGAGATTCTTTCCCAGAGAAAGGGACAAAGAAGGAGGGAGGGAAGGTAAGCAGTGGAAAAGCTACAGAGAGAAGGATAAAAAGAGATCAGGTGTGATGGCTGGAAAGGGTGGGAAAGAAAGAGGAGTCGGATAGCAGAGCAAAAAAGATTGGTGACTCCTGCAGAAATTATTGGGGGAACACCAAACAGACCATTTTCTGAATTGAACAGCTTAAAAGTCAGCAGTGAAGGGTTGTGTCTTCCCCCAGCACTCATTCATGAAAGATGTCAAGCCACTACTACAATCAGGTACTCAGTGGTGGCAAATGCTACTGACAGCTAATTACATTTTGCTTAAAGATTTATGTCAGGGTACAGACATAATTTCCTTCAGTGGCTTCAGATATTTTTCACAGTGGAGAAAGTAGAAATAGGCAATTAGAAAATGTGTCGACTTCATAGCCAAACCTTCCCTCCACTGATTTTATCAAAACATTTCCATTATGTGTTGGCTTAGTTGAGTTTCTGTACTTCAGAAAGAGCAACTGAATTTTCTCAAACCCTACAAAGAATACCAGAAAAGTCAATAAGCCAGCAGCCCTTCTACCCCTGTTTCCTCTCAAACACTCTAAAATCCTAAGCTGTGTTTCATCTCCCTATAATACTCAATATATGCTACAGTTACACAAGTATTCTTTCCTCTAAGATCCCATCATTCGCGTATTTGAAGCATTGTAAAAACTTCAGAAGCTCAGTTCCAGAATTATTTTATAATGAAGGAAGGCGTGGGTTTATTAGCTTTCCTTGCATTCAAATTAAAAACAAACAAGAGTGCTGCTTTTCACTAGCTTCCTGCAGTGACAGCAAGCACAAGAGGCAGAGCAAGGACCAGAACACGGGCATTGCAAACCCCAGATGGGCAACAGCTCCTTGTACACACAATGTGTGAAAGCCTTGAGTACCACAGAAAATCAAAACCAAAGCCAGGCACTCTGGCAACCCTCCAGGAGATTACTTTCCCAGTGGCATCTTGCACGACCTTCTGCTCCAAACAGTCTGTGAAGTACTCCCTTCTGGCTATTTATTAAGTCAATTTTCTCCTCGTTTTGCATACATAGCATTGGACAGTTCCAGATACCTTTTTTCTACCTCATTTAACAGCAGCCTACAGTAACTATAGAGCCCTCCTCATCTTAGAATCTCTACTCCCACTTGATCCAATTACTTTTGACAACTTACCGTTTTAGTATGAGGCTCTTTCTAGGATGGCAAATTTGTCTTTTCTTTCCCTCCAGGTAACATTAAGGACAGGGACTCTCATTTATTCTGTCTCTCCAAGGCATATCCCTCTCAATGTGTCTATGGTGCTTTCCCAGCCCTATTACTTATATTACTTATATTTCACCTGCTTCATTTTGTACTAAATAAAACAGCAAAGGGATGTTTTACCTGCAGTGCCTCCGGTGTAACTCTCCAGCCAACACCAACTGAGAAGCAGACAGGCGGGCACTGTCCCTCTCCTCCTTTATAGGGCAGCTTTTGCCACGCCTTAAGTAAACGTAGCCAAGTTGAAGTCAAGTTCAAGGCCAAAAGCAACCGCTCTGGCTTGGGCGTAATAGTTTCATACAGATATCACACGGTGTTTATATACATAGATATACACACACACACTTCCATTAGCCATGCACAATGGATTGTCTGTTGATCTACGTTTGTTGACAGTTTCCTGGCTAATTGTGGCTTCCGGTGCAGTTATTCTTGTAAAAGAAATATGTTTCTTTGTACTCCCACCCCTTCACATAATGTGTTTTCCTCCCCACACCACCAGGAAATGCAACAGTCATCCTGGATCCAGGCACAGCCTGGTAGGACTCACCACAGGTTATCAGTGGTGCGTGTCATTCTTTCTGCAGCACTAAAAGCAGCGGGTACTTTTAGGCCAGTGCCTGTTAGCATTTACACTGGGCTCTTACTTAAATTCTACATCAGTTCACTTACTTGGGTGGTTCATTTCCTCAGGACTGCCTGAGGAAATCACACATCAATATGTTATCCACATATTTAGAAGGGGACTGGCCTCCATTATCCTAAGCCCAAAGCCAAAGAATAAAAGAGCATCTAGCAAAAATATGGGAATATTCATTTTCAGCAAACCAAACAGAAATCCTAAAGAGGCTAAAATTCAAGGGAATGTGTGCAGCACATTCTCAGGGACACTTTCCCTGGCAGCAATCCTAAGTGTATTCCTGTAGCCTGTAAATCTGTGTTTGAAGAAAAGACCCTTGGTGTTCTGGTGGGCAACAAGCTGAGCAAGAGACAACCATGCACCCTTGCAATAAAGCAAACCAACAGCATCCTGGGCTGCACAAGCTGCAGCATAGGCAGCAGGTCAAGGCAGGAAATCCTTCCTCTTTGCACAGTACTTCTGAGATGGTATCTGCAGTACTGTATCCAGTTTTGGGCTGCCCAGGGTAAGAGGGGCATTGAAAGTGCAGCGAGTCCAGCAGAAACCCACCAGCATGGTCAGGGGGCTGGAGTACATGGTGTGAGAGAGGAGACTAAGAGAGTTTGTCCACTCAGTCAGGAGGGAGACCTTCTTGCAGTCTCCCACTATTCAAAAGGCATTACAGAGAGGGTGAAGCAGACGCTTCTTGAAGATACACAGCAAGATGGGCAGAGGCAACAGGCACAAGGAGTAGCAATGAAAATTACATGGGGTTGGAGAGAAAAAAAATCTTTAGAGTGGTTCAGCCCAGGCACAAATGCCCAGTGAGCCTGGAGCATCTCCACCCTTGGAGATACTCACTTGGACAAGGATATAAGCAACATCACCTAACTCAGAAGTCAACCTTCTTTGGGCTGGAGTGGGACTCAAAGACCAAAGAAATTACCCTCTCTTTTTCAAGCAATCACAGTTTGTTCATCAAAAGAAAAGTTACTCTGCAGGGAAGGTTTGTGAAGTTCATCTTGGGCATTAACAAAAAAACTTACAAATGCATAGTGCTTTGCTTACCCAAAGTAATCATGCAATCACCTGGGCTCAGGAATTTCCTCTGAACAAGACTTTCTGCTTGGGCTGCAGTCTCTTTGAGGTGGGATGCTAGCAGTTCACATAGCAGCTGTTCCCTAGGAGCTATGGGAGATGAGAACATAAAAGGGCTCATGAAAAAGACAGTTCAGCTTCTTCATCAATGTTTAGTATAGCTCTGTGGGTCTAAAAGCAGTGTACTGCACCCTGCCTGCTCACATTTTAGGGCTTTCATTTCCTCATGAGATCCCAACATTTAGCAAACTCTAATAGGAAATACATCCATGTAAATTAGAGCAAAACCTGCCCCAGAGAGCAAAACAGGTGCAGTTTTCCTTTAAGAGCTGTTTTCCATAACCACTACATAAATAAAAGCTGATTGCACCAGAAGCAGGGAGCAGAGATTTCCTTCATTGCAGGAAAGGAGCTCTGAGGTGATAAATGCCAGTGCTGCTGGCTCATCTGACAGCACGCGTGCTGTTAATCGCCTCCTCTCTGGGGAAACGGCAGGTATATTCCCCTCCAGGTATGGTGATTCATTGTCTGGAACTGATATCTCTGCTTAAATGGGGGATTAACATGATTTAAGAAATATTCATTGCAAAGTTGATTAGAAAGCACCATCACCAACCTGGCAGGAGATTTCAGTTATTGCAGCATGAACCCATTTTGAGATTGTCAGCTTTTCTGCAGAAGGCTGTATTGATGTGTCCATTTTCACAGTGGCTCCAGAGGAGGAAACCCAGAAGGCTGAGGGATTTATGTGCAGTAATGAGCCTTTGGATTACTGGCTATCCTAAGTGTCAGTGGAACCCTGCAAGAAAAAAAAAAAAAAAAAAAAAAAGAGTAATTTCAGAAAAAAGCACAGGGCTGTGCACTGGGAGAGCAGGGGTGTTTTCTGCTAGTGGTACCCTGTGAGATTGTGGCAGGTGCAACATTGCTCTGGCTTGAGGTTTGTTTTGCGAGCAGGCACATTAATCCACCTTAGAGCAGCTGTGTAGTTTGATCCACTCATGAGCGAGAGATGGTGAGGGATCACTGGAAACTCAAACCTGCTTCTGCACCGTAAGTTACCACCTCAGGACTGTTAAAAGCACAAATAAAGGAGGGCCCCTATGCTTAGGACCAACAGCTGCAATGAGTTCCTTTCTCTGTTCCAGAGGGTACTGGCACCAAAGGGCAAATACTATGAAGTGCTATTAATTCCAGGTTTTCTGTGAAGTTAGAATGGTTTGTGTAGTCTCAGCTGGCACCACAGGCTTTTGGCATCACATATTTTTGGAATTTATAAAACCTTTATTCCTCTCTACCCTGGAATAAAAATACACAAAAAATGCACAACACACGGGTTCTTCTAAAAGTAATTTTAAGCTAAGCATATATATCTTCTCTTTTCTTGGCTTTCCTGAGGGTAGACTCTAGCTCTGCATAACTGTCATGGTTTAACCCCAACTGGCAGCCCACAGCCACTCACTCGCTCTCCCACCGCTGGGATCAGGAAGAGAATCAGAAGAGTAAAAGTGAGAAAACTCCTAAGTTGAGATAAAGACACTTTAATAGGTAAAGCAAAAGCTGTGTGCACAGGCCAGGCAAAACAAGAAATGAACCCACTGCTTCCCACGGGCAGGCAGGTGTTCTGCCATTTTCAGGGAAGCAGGGCTCTATCACACATCACAGTTACTGGGAGAAACAGTAACTCCAAACACCCCTTCCTTCCTCCCTCTTCCATGTTGAGCATGACTGCCATATGGTATGGAATATCCCTTTGGTCAGTGGGGGTCAGCTGTCCCAGCCGTGTCCCCTCCCAGCTCCTTGTGCACCCCCAGCCCACTCATTGGTGGGATTGGGTGAGAAGAAGAAAAGGCCTTGACTCTGTGCAAGCACTGCTCAGCAATGACTAAAACATCTCTGTATTATCAACCCTGTCTTCAGCACAAATCCAGTATAGCCCCATACCAGCTGCTGTAAAGAAAATTAACTCTATGCCAGCTAAATCCAGCACAGCAGCCAGCAGCATCTCTGCAGCAGCGAGTTTTGTATCATCTTTCAAGGGTGTGTGGGGAGGAACTGCAGAATTATGCCCAAGTACTAGTGGAAGCCTTGGCCTTAAGAAACGGGACTTTCCTCACTCCACCCACAGAGCTTCTGTGCTAAAGTATTAAGACTTATTTTTTGCAGTGTTTCAGACATATGCCTTAATTTCTTACTTCCGCTGCTTTTGCCCCTGTGAAGTTCACACTCTTTTTAGCAGAAATAGTCGTAATTTACACCATGGTAAACGAAAGTAACAGGCTGGGAAATTGTCCAGGGTAGTGAACACAACTATGCTTTGTGTAAAAGAGGAATCTTCTGTCAGTCACTGTCACATTTGCTGCTATAATTGGGTGTCCCACTGTTTTTGCATTGTGGGACTAATGGAAGAATACTATGAATCCATTTCATTTCCTCATTCAGAATTTTGTATATAGGTCAAGTGTTACCATTTATTTGCTCCTCTTACACAAGATGCAGGGAAGCTATAAATATATTATTCATAAACAACATTCTTTGCTCTGTGCTTATGCACTCCTATTTCTGGCAGGGCCTGCTCTTCTAAAGCACAACTTTTATGATTGTATAAACTATCAGGCAAATAACAAAGTCCTTCTTCAGCATCTGTTTTTACCCAATCCTCACCCACAAGCTGCCCCTCAGTGCAAATTCACCTCGAGCTGCAGCACTTTTGCTGTGTTCACGTATGAATCATTTTGCTCACAAATGAACTACAACTGTTGCCTGAGTGAAATGTGGCAGCTGCTTAACAGTACATAATGAATCCACATAGCTAGGTCCTACTGCCACTTGAGGGAGGGGGGGATTTGGTGTGAAAAATAAATCTCTCCAGAGCCCTATTTTCAGAAGAAATATCCACCGACTTCAGAACTACAGTGGGAATTCTTCAAGAATAAAAATAAAAATAAAAAAACAGGCAGCCTGCTACTGACACCCATACTAGCACTAGTATTTCCCAGAGGAATATTTTTCCTTCAGAAAAATGCAATTCTGTCAAACATGAAAGCCACTAACAATGAATTTTCACCATGAGAAAGACACAATACATTTCAATAATGCCATTGGGCTCCATTCCGATTTTGCAATAGTTGCATTTTTTGCTTATGAAAAAGTCATCACTTCAGGATCCTCTCTGTATTATCCAAAAGGTTTAACATTGCAATGTAAAAAAGATTTCAAGTGTTATTGCAATAGCTCACTGCTCATTTGGTCTGACATTATTTTTCAGAATGTGGTTTCCCAGAAAATTCTGGACTTTGTTTTTTGTTTGAATGAGGAACAGAATATAAAAGCATTTTGAATGTACTCAACATCTACAGAAGTCTGGCCCCACAGCAGCTATCACTGAAATTCTCTTTGAGAATGAGTCCATCCCATCATCAAGAGTGACATCAAAGCATATTTTAAACAGAGCTGTCGTGACATTGTCCTGACAAGTGACAAGGACACCATTTCATCTGGTCATAGCACTGCTGTTTTGCTTTACCAAAGTTTGCTAGCAACTGCTCAAAAAGGTAAGTAAGGAAGGAGCACTTTTACCCCTCTCTCAGTGTCCCTCATCTACCTCTTCATAAACAGTTACTGGGCACCACGAAACGCCAGGGACAAACCTTTGTGGAGGGCACATCAAAATGAAATTCTTGTTTTCACCAGCACATTAGTCCTTGTTTGGCATTTCGGTGTCCAGCCTTGTTAACGCCCTGTGGCTATGAGAAAATTTATTTCACGCTTTTTTGTTTTGTTTTTGTCTCGGTGTGAACAGATTGCAAGAGCCTCGCATTTGTTTGTTTTCCAGAAACATTCCCGCCATCCTCTGATGAAGAATCCTTGGCCTGCAGATCATTCAGCAGTAAAAACATTTGAAGTTCATAGTCCTCACTTCAGCCTTTGTTGACTAGTGACATATACTGCACAGTACAGTTTCTTCTTCCTCGACACCTTGCCATTTGTAAGGTGCCAACAAGGGGACATCACTGGTATTCCAGTCAGACAGGCAACTTGCTGTCCACCTTTCCCCCTCTCTCCCACAAGACATCCAACACTTAGAGAAACAAAGGGCTGCAACTTGAGACAAGCCAGAAAGCTGCTCTGGTACTCCATGTTCTGCAGCATATACTCAAAGCCTGAAAAGGGAGTTACTATCCAAATCAGGGCAAGGGCAGAAGAGGGATTTGAAGCTAATTATGGCAAGCCCTGAAGATGTCACAGTGGAATTAAGACCATGAGGTGGCTGGAAGTCACAGACATAACTCCCTTGAGTTGTCCTAGCTTCTCCACCATGCAGTAAGGGTGCTGTATGCTGGCAGTGCTGGTTATTGTTTGAATATATTGGTTCCATGCAAAGCAAATAATAGGATAGAAGGATAAATTATTGAAAGAATTTCTCAGACTAACAATCCCATCATCAAATTCCTGGAAATTTAAAAGATTAAAAAAACAGCCATCAGATATTTTTGCTAACTCTGGATTCATCTTCCCTTGGTCCAACACAAGTGACCTCATCTGAAGCAATAATACCCAAAAATACTTAGCTGCAAGGTACCTAGCAGTTTAGAAAAAAAGACTATCTTGAAAGAGGATAGTGAGCATGCCTAAAGACAGAAACCTGATGGTAAAAAATAATGTTCATCTCAGTTATCATGCTAGGCAAGAGAGGTATAGGTCTTTCTGCCTTCAGGACAAGACAGCAGGCAGTCCCAGGGAACACAGGTGTAAGGCTCCCCGGGTCATGCTGTGCCTAAAACAGGTGTTCATAGTATTTGGATAGATGTCCCACTGCAGCCTCGAGCTACCATGCAGTGCACTCAATAACTAACACTCCACACTTCCTTTCACAAGTGCTGAGACCACACTCACTCCCATTCCACAGCATCTCCTGCTCAGCCAAGATGAACCACAGCACAGGATGGAATGTGGCTTCTGACATTGCCCTGCATTAAGCTGCTGCTAGAGCCTTCTCTGAAAAAAAGCAGTCCACACTTTTTACCCCACTCACTAGAGACCCATTTGGTCTCTCTCTAAGTATTATTTTGGCTAAGAGAAGAATCATCTCACAGGTTTTGTAACAGCATCAGCATTTGCCAACATCACAGCACTGGAGAGTTAAAAAAAAACCCCAAACTAAAACATTACCAGCCTGAATTTTCTCATCCTGATGAGAAAAATGAGCTTGCTCATCTGACTGACAGCAAGTAAAAAGCAAAACACTGCCCATAAAGAAGGCAGCTCAGCTTAATCTTGAGGCTATACCTATTCAGCTCAAACCAAAGGAGAATATGACCTTATTTGAAAGGCATAGGAAGGGTGGCAAACCCACAGAGAAAATCTCCAGACAGAAGTGATCTCCTCAAGTAATTAGACAATCTTGCACCTGAGGCCTGCAGTCAAGACAGGAAAAGAGCAGCAAGATGATTTTGCCCAGAAAGACTTTAGGAATGTACCTGGATGAACTTTTAATACCTGTACTGTATTTGATCCTTTGCAGTATGGCTCTGACGAGTGCTCTAGTGTTTAGGGAGCATGAAAGACACACTGAAAGAGGAGCAAAACCCAGGTCTAGAGAACAAATGGAGAATTTAAGGCACAGAGCCCAGTGGTGCTCTCCTGAGCAGCACAGCATCAGGACTCAGCCTGGGTTCAAACAGACAAATGCCTGATGAAGAAAGCTGTCCTCCCCAAATTCTGCTTCCCAAGAACTGCAAAGGGCCAGCTGTCACTTGCAGGGACAGGTAGATCAGCACATGTCACTGCAGCACCCTTGAA